CTATATGCATGCCTGCGCAAGAGCATGGTAACGGAGGTGGGGGTGATGAAAGACATCAGCCTTGTAAATGAACACATTCTGCACCCTGGTCAGTGCAATTCCCAGTTAGTCATCGCAACAGAATGGGAAATCGCATTTGTGGAGGTTCAGTGAATTCGAATCAAGTCAAACTTGCTATTCAAATGGGAGCCGATTGGCTTAAGTGTCACATTCCAGGGAACGCTATTGTCTACACAACGAAGAATGAGCATGTTTGTCACGATTTTTGAAGAAAAATGAATCGTCACGCATTCCCACACATTCCTATTTTACCGCATTCATCTTCATGTAGAAGGGAATGGGTGAAGAACAGTCGGACACAGGCGCGAATGTAGGCAGGGCAACTACGGATTGCATATAAGTAGAAGGACAGATGGAAGGAAGACAAACCTGCATGTATTACACGCGACCAGAAATGGATTGTCCTGGCTCCATTTTCGTAAAGGCGCAGAAGAGAGTTGGGGAAGGAAGCCTTCTTTCCTGCTACAATTCATCGATGACACATTCGATGGTGTAGTTGGAAATGAGTCCGTGATTTACAGCTGGCGGACCCCTTATCATGATCACCGTGTTTGGATCGACTGCTGCAAGTGTCACATTCTGAGGAACAGTTAGATGTACTCGATGCAAAATGAATACATCTGTCATGATTTATAAGAGGGCAATAAATCTCTATGTACCTCTGCATTGCCATATGAATAGGGGTAGATTCGGAAAGAGTGGCCATCAAGGTTAACGAACGAAAGGCAACAATTGATTGCATGAAGGTAAGTGGAAGTAGTTGGAGGGAGGACAGACCTGCACTCACTAATATCGAGAACCAATGGTTCAGCCGACTCGATGCAAATGTCGGACGATACCACCGCGCTCACAGCGACCTCATAAGTGGCGTATGGCTGCATTCCATAAGTTGATATTTTCGGACTTTAGAACTGAGGTTGACAACTAAATACCACGTATTTCATGATCTAGGCCCGTGCGTGTTCATCCAGATCGCCGATTATTCTAGACTCGTGTATCGGTACGTCCAGTGTGCAAAAATCTTCAAAATAAGTTGTCTCAAATGCTAGTTCTTGCATACCTGTAAAAGTAGACAGGCGATATTTAGATAGGGGCAAACAAGAGAAAATAAAATCATGCTTTTAGGTATCTGTTTCATTATGTGCTTTTGCTTTGAAGAGAGACTAGAGCATCTGCGTCTATGGTTTAAATGGAAAATTATAAATAGGAATGTTTGACATGCTTTACAGGCTTCTGTCCATCTGATGGAATCGTTCAGGCCTCATCCATGCACTGATATCCTGTGATTCGATACAAATCGCCAATTTTTGCAAAAGTCATCCAGTTGTCCTTAGTTAAGGCATGAACTGGGGCTAAAGTGCTGCACAATTCATAAACAGACCCAACGATAAAGTTT